CACTATAGAAAAGTGAAGCCAAAGCATCTCAGTATGGCCGCTGCCATCTTGAGTAAATGACGTCATTTGGAGCCCGAGTCTGCGCAGTAGAGATTCGTTTGGAGCCAGAGTCTGCACAGTAGTGTTGTGAGGTGGAGCCGCGGTATCAAACTCCCGCCCAAACTCCCACAGACCCAATCAGCCATAACGACACGCCCCGTTTTTATAGCATCAAATTATTAGCTAAAATCAAACTTATCACAAAAACGAACAATTGAACATATATCAGTATGATAACAACTACCTTAAATTACCAAAACCATCTTTCGGAAAATTGTATTGGAAGTGTAATTAATTTTTTTTATCTTGACTCAAGTCCCATTCGTTTACATGGAGAGGGTGGGGTTTATGACCTGTACACTGCAGCCAGCCACCAGGGGGCGATCAAAGAGCCCGCAGCTTCACTTTTTAGGACATGTGAGGCAAGGTTATTTTCGTAAACGAAAACTAAGACTAAAACGATTGATGAAAAAACAATTTCGTAAACTGAAATAAAATAAAAACGTTAAAATAATTGAAAAACTAAAACGAAACAAATCTAACAACAGTTATTGAAAAACTAACTGAAATAAAATAATAATTATCAAAAATAAATAATCGTTTTTGTAATCATACATTCTCACCCCTTGGCGGAAAAATATATGAGCTGTGTGGAGGATTAGGGAAATAGCCTACCTGTAATGGCGCATCACGCACATGGGGTTATCTGACGGAGAGACGCAAAGCAGTTTAAAGCCTGCATGGGTCCTGTTTGGTAAACGTGCACCAGCAGTACTTAACAGAACACTCGACCCATTATCTGACAGCAGCACTAATTTAATTCTGTACCAGACGAGAACCATTTGACAAAGACCGCGAATCGCGACCAGAACCGCACTCGCATTATTACATCAGGTAAGCAAGATTATTTATTTTATCATGTAACACAAGCAATCAAACCAACATTAGGCATTCTGAAAAACAGACATGCAGCGCAACATGATAATTAACAGAAAAAAGATGAGAACGAGCATCCTTTCTGTAAACAACAGAAAACTTTTGCCTAGCATCTTGTGATCACTCTGCCAGGTACTTGAACAAATTTGCATTGGCTACATCACATCATACACACCATTATAATTCTTCATAAATGAAAAGAACATTAAAATATAAATTAAATGCGATTGCCGTTATTATTGAATCTCATTAGTCCCAGTTTTGATTGATGCATGGCTGTTCACAGAAAAGTGAGCAAGACACCACAGTTACAATATCATGATTATGGTTAAATAAGAAAAGACATATAACCAAATCAGGCTACATTTATTTTCATACTTAATATCTCAACACACATCATTGGATATGACATTAAGCGCGACTTGTGTAGATTAATTTAGTAAAAAAAAGGTTTGCCTGCTTTCTTTAGCGTATATTTGTATACTTTTACTATTGAATCAATCTCAGCATGAGTTAATTTTGTGTCGCTATATGTTTGCCTCACTAAGGTTAAATTATGCCTACGTCTTTCTTTGGCCTGCGCTCTGGAAGTGATCTGTTAATTCTGCTAAACTTTAATGAAAACTGAAACTAAACTATATAAAAACTAAATAAAAATGAGTTCACAAAATAAAAACTAAACTAAAACTAACAAAAATATGAATGAAACTAATAAAAACTAAACTGAATTTTATAGCAAATTTGAAAACGATATTAAAATAAAACGAATTTAAAAATTCAAAACTATAATAACCTTGGTGTGAGGCACACCCGGGACTGACCTGCATGCCGTCTTCTCCCCGGCGCAGCTGCAGCAGGCTGACGAGCGTGTGTTCGCTCTGCGCTCGGACGCTGGTGTTCTTGTCCTTGGTGTTGTCCAGCAGGGCTTTGATGACCGGTTTGACCAGATTGGGCTCCAGCGCGGGAGTCTCCGCCTCCTTACACACCCACCACAGCACGCGCTCCGTCACCAGACGAATGTCACTCGACTGGTTCTGCAGACACTGTGGGAGGAGCCACGGCAGAGCAGGAATTCAACATCTCTGATGTGTGTCAGTCCAACTAATGTGTTTGAGTTTGCTTGCAATGGCAAACAAAAAACATCTTATGGAATACGTATGGAATATAACCAGATAGGGCTGCGCGATAAATCAATTTATCAAAAAACATTCAGTTCTTGATATTGATAAAGTTTTTGTTTTTATTTTTACATTTTAAACAAGTAATTTTGTAGAAATTATGCCAGAAATATATTACTACTGTCTAGTAAAAGTACTTCTCAGAGTAATAATAATAATAAAACATGACATTGATTTACTATTATTATTATTATTATTATAAGGAATTTCATATAACCAAGATATATTTATTTTAATATACTTGATTAACTTATACACTATACAACTTCTCTTGTGCAGCACCTCACTTGAGAAGAAAAATAAATCTGCAAATTGTTACATTTTCATTTGATCACATTTTAAAACGGATTAAATTGTTAAGGTTTTATGAATTCATTTTTATTAGAGACCTTTTTAATTATAAATCTGCATTAAAATACAGAATTAGGGAAAATATACAATGAATTTCACACAGTTTACTTATAAACAAATTCATGTTTATGTTCATTGTTGAGGTCTAACGAATACGCCAAATGCATTTCCTGGTATAAAATGAATATTTTGGCATCAATATCGAAATATATGAAACAAAATCATATTCTTGTCCATATCATCCAGCCTAAACTGTATCCCATAATGCAAAGTGCTCGAATCAACCAGAAACGATATTGTGATAAACTAATTAACTAAGAATGAAAATAATTCTAAAGCATTTACGTTAATTTCAACATTTACTATTACGCATGAGACCCTAGTTAACATTACTAACAATAACCAGCTATATTTGTATTAACTAATGCTAACAACGATTAATAAATACTGTAACAAAAGTGCTGCTCATTGTTTGTTACCAAGCATATTAAAGGGTTAGTTCACCCAAAAATGTAAATTAGCTCATAAATTACTCACCCTCAAGTCATCCTAGGTGTATATGACTTTCTTCTTTCAGACGAATCCAGTCGGAGGTATATTAAAAATTGTCTTTGATCTTTCAAACTGTTTCATGGCACTCAGCGGGTGTTGCATGCATCAGTCCAAAAGCAGTTAAATAAAAAGCGC